ATGATCAGAACAACCTGTGGCTGCCCCAGTCTGCCAGGACACAATTCCATGCAAAAGTGGAACTTGGGTTCATGAAAAGCCATCTCCTCCCTGAGCCTGGCAGCAGCCTGGCAGAGCCCAGCTCCCCGAGCCAGCCTTAGGGCCACAGCTGCCAGGTCAGCTTTAGCAGCAAGTTCTAGCACAACATTTTTGTGCCGTGGGTGAGATCAAGCCAAGGGCCAAGGGCCTGCATAAGGCTTGGCAGTTCCAGGGCAAAGAGCACAGCTCTGCTGGAAGCAGGGAGCTGCAGGCTACCCCTGCACCCTGCCCTGCAAAGGGGAGCTGTGCCCAGCACCAGCCCCTCAGCTGCTCCTTGCCAAGGCCCAAGAGAGGGGCTTGGTTTCAGAGCAGGCAGGGAGCAGCCTGCAGCCAAGAAGTGAGCTCAGGCTGTGTCTCATGCTCTGATTTAGCTTGAACTCAGCCTCAGGGAGTGAGCAAGGGAGGCTGGCACTGGTCACATGGCTGGAGACCAGTGAGCAAAGCACTGGCTATATGGGCAGGAGAGAAGGGCTGTGGGCAGCCAAGCTGTACCTGAGCATCACAGCCCTGTGCCCAAACCTCAGCACCACATCCCCAGCCTGAACCTCAGCATCACATCCCCAGCCCAAAGCTCAGCATCACATCCCCAGCCCAAAGCTCAGCATCACATCCCCAGCCCAAAGCTCAGCATCACATCCCCAGCCCAAAGCCCAGCATCACATCCCTGTGTGCCCAAAGCTCAGCATCACATCCCCAGCCCAAAGCTCAGCATCACACCCCTGTGCCCAAAGCTCAGCATCACATCCCTATGTGCCCAAAACTCAGCATCACATCCCCAGCCCAAAGCTCAGCATCACATCCCCAGCCCAAAGCCCAGCATCACATCCCTGTGTGCCCAAAGCTCAGCATCACATCCCTATGTGCCCAAAACTCAGCATCACATCCCCCAGCTGGTACCTGAGCATTGCTTCTGACTCTCTGACGATCTGGGCTATGTCACTTTTGTGGATCTTCTGCTGCACCAGCAGCTCATGGGCTTTGGTCCACCTGTATTTGATGAGGGAAAGGCAGCAGTGACAGAGCTGCAGGCAGAGTCACAACAGCTAAACCCTGTGGGATCCCTGCCAAGGCCAGGGATGATTCAAGCCCCATGTCCTGTATCTTCAGGGACAAGAGGTTGTCAGGACAAGGTCTCACCACAAACAGCACTCACCACTCCACCATGAGGGGACGTTTCTCTTCCAGGGTCCGGTTGGGATCTATTTCAATGGGATAGTAATAGTGGAGCAGATCCTTCAGCTGGAGTGTCACACAGAGGGAAAAGGAACAAAGTGAACATCAGGTCTAAAGAGACTAAACAAAACTAGCATTTCTGAAGTTCTCCAAAGCATTGCTCTTCCCAAACACGACCAAAACCTTGTCACCGAGCAGCTTCCCTCAGAGCACACTTGGAACTCTCAGCAGCCTGGCTGGCCCTCACCTCACTCCAAGTGCTGCAGGTACAAACAGCCCTCCCTTCTTCCTCTTATCAAACTGAAACACCCACAGCTGCACATGCAAATTTGAGTTCCCTTTTCAACTTCTCCTCTGTCACTGCTGGCTGAAATGCAGCCTGGACACTTTCTCACTCCATTCTGGCAGCCACCACAGCTGGGAGAGCTGCCACAGCAGCCCGTGTGACCTCCCAATGACAGGTACAACAGCCACCAAGCCTTACACACAGCACCCACCTTCTTCTTGCCATCCTCGCTGATCACACGGCTGGTATCAAGGATGTCTGCAAAGAAAATAAAATGGTGTAGCACAGAATCATAAAGAGGCTTTCTACAGCACCTCCCCTGTGTCTCAGTGCTGGCTGCTCCCAGTACAAGCCGTGGTGACACCGTGACCTGAGCACAGGCTCGCTGAGGGGTCCCAAGGCAGTGGCTCCCACTCTGAGCCCCTGAGCAGCCTCGGTGCCCGTGGGCAGTGGGATGAAGGCAGCCAGCCCAGGAGCTGGCTCTTGGCTCCTGCAGTGGGCAGCTGGCACCAGGCAGCGAGGCCCAGACCTGCGAGGGGAGGACAGGACAGAGTGGCCAGGCTTGGCAGAGGAGGGCACAGGGGATGACAGGAACCACATCAAATACAAACACAGAAACCAAACAGAACTAGCAACAGTAAAAACAACAGCTTCCACTCACTGTGAGACGTGGGGCAGCGCCTGCCATTGCAACCAAACCTGCTCAGCGTCATGTCAAAGTCAGAAATGACCTGGAAGAGGGGAGAAAAGCACAAAGCACGTCCCTGTGTGACCCAGCGCGTTCTGCGCTGCCCAGAGTGAGCCCAAGGTGCTGCCACCTGCGAGAACGCGCACCCAGCACCGCTAATCTCCCGTGGCCGCCCCTAGCAGCCACGAGGCAGACAGGGGATGTGCTCACCCTCCCACCCCGGAGCTCTTATCGGCACCGAATAGCTCCTTCATCCCGCCTGGGCGGAGCAGGGCCCTGGGACCGGCGCACAGTTAATGTCCATAACCGGGAGCCCAAAGGTCGGTCCAGAGGGAGCCACCAGCCCCTTCCCGCTCTCCTCGGGGGCAGCTTCTTCTCCAGCCGCAGGTGCTTCCCCGCGGGGCTGGGAGAAGCCGAGCAGGAACGGGGGGACGAGGAAGGGGCGGCTGAGGAAAGGACGGAGCAGCGGTACCTGCAGTTTGGCCACCCCCTGCTCCCGGAGAGAGCGGATGATGCTCCGCACCCGCTCGGGCTGCCGGATCCGCACCGTGCCTTTCTCCAGCTCGGGCACCTGCAGGCAGAGACCCCGCTCGGTGCCGCCCGGAGCCCCTCCCCAGCTCCGGGGGCACCGAGACCCTCCGGGCCCCTCTGTCCCCCGGTGTGGCCGCGCTCCCGGCCCACAGCCCCGCTCTCACCATCTCGTTCCGTTCCGTTCCGGGCCGCGCAGCCGCGGGGCGGGACCGGAACGCGGGGCCCGGGGGCGCCGGGCGGGGCTCCGGCCGCGTTCCGTGGTTGCTGCGGGCGGAGAACCGGAGAATCCTCCCGTGCTCCGCCCCGCGCCCGCTGCGGCTCCTGGCGGCGGTTGAGTTTCCCAAGAGACGAGCCGGGAAGGCGAGATATAATAAAATAAACAAATAAATAAATAAATATATATTTTTTTTTTATTTAAAAAAAAAAAAAAGTCATTCGTGCCCGCCGCCGGGAAGGCGAGATATAATAAATAAATTAAAAAAAAAAAATTAAATTACAAAAAAAGTCATTCGTGCCCGCAGGGCTCCCGGCACCGAACCGCTCCGCAGCCCCGGGAGCACTGAGCGCTGAGTCACAGAACGCTGGCGGAGGAAAAGCCCTCAAAGAACCATCCCCCAGCATTGCCAAGGCTGACCCTAACCAATGTCCCTAAGTGCCACATGCACAAGGCTTTTAAACCCCTCCAGGGATGAGGATCCACCGCTACTGCCCTCGGCAGCCTGTAACATCGGGTGTTACAGCATCCTGTTACAAGGCGGTATTAAGAACATAAAAAGTTCTAATTCCTTGGAACTGGGTTTGTTTTCAGCCACCAGAGTACTCCACAGCACACAAGATGAGCCAAGAGTTTGGGTTTTAATGCCAGGGCTAAACAGGCCATTCAGGAAAAACAATTCCCAACATTTCCAATATCCAGCCTAAACCTCCCCAGGCACAACGTCAGCGACAAAGCAGCAGGGACAGTGTGTGACAGCACCGACATGAGCTGGACTGTACCTCAGCTTCCTCCTGGGCGAGGCAGCACAGGGCACTTCAGCAGAGGTTCATGCCCACATTTGGGGGCAGTGAAATATTACTGAAGGGCTGCCAGGGGATCGAGCATGTGGCTGGTTCTGCTCCATCAAGACAGTGCAGGTCCAGGACCCAGCATAAGCCGGGCTGTGGGGAAGCAAGGCCTGGGGGCAACCACAGAATGCTGGGCCTGGGTCACCCTGCATCTGTGATGTCATTATGGGGCACAGTCCAGAACCAGCAAGGGGGTTCAGTGCTGGATGTTTGGGGACAACACCAGAGTGCTCCACACACCTCAGCAAGGTCCACTGCCTCTGGCTCCAACCTGCGGGATAGCTTGGCACCTACCAAATATTCATCCTCCACCATGGAGAGGAAGATGAGCGATAGGAGTTGCAGCATCTCCAATGAACTCCGCCTGGAAGGGAGATTCTGTGATGTGATCATCAGTGTAGATGGGGTGGAATTCAAGGCTCACAAGCTCATCCTCTCTTGCTGCAGTATCTACTTCAGGTCAGTCCTTGAAGCACAAGGGGATGGGGACAAACAGTATGCCCTGCTTGAGGTCACCCCACCTGAGCACTTCTCCAGGACTTCCACCTGCCCTGAACCTCTCACCAAGTGATTTCTCACAGTCCTCACACCTCCCTGAACACCAGGATTAATCCACATATCAGTGGCTCTTGGCAGTGGTGTCCGAGGAGCCCCAGACACAATGCAGGGCTGGAGCCTGGCCAGCCTGGCCCAGCTTTGCCTCCCCCACACCCTGTGACTCTCTGGGGTCCAAGACCAAGTGTTGGTGCTGCACCTGGGTTGGGGAAACCCCACCCCAGTGTCAGTCTGGGTTGGGGGACGAATGGAGTGAGAGCAGCCCTGGGGAGAAGGGCTTGGGGTGCTGGTGGGTGAGAGGCTGAACATGCCCTGGCTGTGTGCACTGGCTCCCAGAAACCCTTCATTGTCCTGGGCTCATCCCCACAGTGTGAGCAGCAGGCAGTGGGGGGATTCTGCCCCTCTGCTCCTCTCAGGTGAAACCCCCTGCCCTGCTGCCTCCAGTTCTGGTATGCTCCAGAGGCTGTGTCTCCTTTTTCAAACAGCCAGCAAGTAAAACATTAATCAATAAACCACGGGGCCTCCCAGAATGGCTCCTACCAAGGCCAAAACTGGTGCCCTTGGGGCAGGGGGAGCACAGGCGATTCAGGGGCAGGGTTTAACTCAGCAACGCCATGTTTTCAGGACTCTGTTTACCAACTGGGACAGCGCAGACAAGATGGTCTATCAAATCCCTGGCATTTCAGCTGAAATGATGGGTCTCATCATCAATTACGCCTACACCGGGACAGTACCGATCACAGAGGACAATGTTGAGAGTTTGCTGGCTGCAGCAGATCAGTTCAATGTCATGGGCATAGTCAGCCTGTGCTGTGAGTTCCTCAGTTCCAGGCTGTGCTTTGAGAATTGCATTGGCATTTGCAGACTCACTGACTATTACCACTGCCCCGACCTGCGCGCAGCTGCCTGCGTGTACATCCTGCACCACTTCGAGGAGGTGTCCCAGGTGTCCGAGGAGTTCCTAGACCTCTCTGCCGAGGAGCTGGCACACATCATTGAGAAGGATGAGCTTAACGTGCGGCGAGAAGAAGCCGTGTTTGAGGCTGTGCTGAGGTGGATCGCTCATGACCCGCAGAACAGGAGGCAGCACATCGCCTGCTTGCTCAGCAAGGTGGGTACAGCGCAGCCTTGGAGCTGTCCCCAAAGGCTACCGAGGGGGAAACCATCACTGTCAGTACTCCAACCTCCTCCTTGCGTGTTTCAGGTTCGACTGGCACTCCTACAATCCGACTACTTCATGAACAACGTCAAAGCTCACGAGTACGTGAAAGACAACGCCAACTGCAAAGATCTCATCATCAGTGCCCTGTCCGAAATCTACGACCTGAACTCCTACGGCCAGAGTTCCTCAGTCAACGCCAACCCACTCACCCGGCCACGCCTGCCCTACGCCATCCTCTTTGCCATCGGGGGCTGGAGCGGGGGCGGCGCCACCAGCGCCATCGAGACCTACGACGGCCGCACTGACAAGTGGCTGAACATCCCCTGGGAGCAGGAGAGCCCTGTTGCCTATCACGGCTCGGCTTATTTGAAAGGCCACGTCTATGTTATCGGTGGATTCGATGGCACAGATTATTTCAACATCGTCAAAAGGTTTGATCCCCTCCAGAAGACATGGCAGCAGGTAGCGCCCATGCACTCACGGCGCTGCTACGTCAGCGTCACTGTTGTGGACAACTTCATCTATGCCATGGGAGGGTTTGATGGGTACATGAGGCTCAACACAGCAGAGCGATATGACCCAGACACCAACCAGTGGACCCTGATCACCCCCATGCACGAGCAGAGGAGCGACGCCAGTGCAACCACGCTGAATGGAAAGGTAAACTAATCCCAAATAAGAGAGGTTGGGGTTGCAGCATGAAGAAAGTTCACATAAACCTTCACTAAATTTGTAACACTGAAATTCATGACAGTTCACTAAATCCTGGAGCTACAAAGCAGCCTGCCTAGTGTGGCAGTGACCAGGAGTACAAAAACTCTTCCAGGGCTGCTGCCAACCTGGTGCCCGACAGCCCTTTTCCTGGCCACAGGTGCAATACCAGGCCTGTCTGCTTCATGCAGCTTAAAAATCAAGGGTAGAAATCTTGCTGGCATCAGCTCTTTGCACAGCTGCTACTCTGAATCCAGGATGACCATTCCCACTCTAAAACACAACACCCCAAAAATCCTGCTTCACCATTCATTTTCTCTTCAACATCACCAAGGGTCTAACCACCCCATTCACACCTCTCCTCTCCCCAGGTGTACATCTGTGGTGGGTTTGATGGTGATCAGTGCCTCAGCTCAGCTGAAGTGTTCAACCCCACCACAAACCAGTGGTCCCTGATCGCCCCAATGAGCAGCAGGAGAAGCGGAGTTGGGGTGATGGCGTACGGGAACCAGGTGTACGCGGTAAGGGCCAACACCAGCCAGCACTGCAGTCCTGTGGGTGGCTGCAGCTCCCAGACCTCCAGGGTGGCCATGTGTTCATGTGAGGTTTAGGGAAGTCAGAGCCAGAACGGTCGATGCACTTCCTGAGAGTGTTATCACCCATCACACATTTTTGAGTATAAAAAGGGTGTTTGGCAATGTTTAAGCAGCTACAGCAAAGAACGTAATTTCTGCTGGTGCCAACAGCATCAGCAGCACAGAGCACGGACTTGGGCCTGCTCATCCATTGTTTATCCTCTCCATGAACTGCATCCAGCCTCTGGAGAAATGTCAAAATTGACAGTTGCATAAAGTGCTTTGGAAAGCTCTTCAGAGAGCAGGGAGCAATAAGCAAGAGCCGTGGTGGGAGATCTTGTGCTCTCCGCCATGCTCAGACTGCATCCAGGGAGGCAGGAGCAGTTCCCATCTCACTGTGCCTGCCAGCACCTGCCTGAGGAAAGGCCCCTTTCAAGCTCTGTGCCTTTGGCATTCACAGGTCGGAGGGTTTGATGGGAACAGCCGGCTGCAGAGCGTGGAAGCCTACAACCCTATCGCCAACGCCTGGCACGCCGTGCCCTCCATGCTAAATCCACGCAGCAACTTTGGCATTGAGGTGATGGACGGCCTGTTGTTCGTGGTGGGGGGCTTCAATGGGTTCAGCACCACCGTTGCCACCGAGTGCTACGAGGAGGACACCAACGAGTGGTACGACGCCCACAGCATGGGCATCACCCGCAGCGCCGTCAGCTGCTGCGTGGTGCCAGGACTCTCCAATGTCATGGAATACATCGCCAGGCAACACTACTACCAGCACAGCTCCTCCATGGACATCTTGTTCACCAGCTCAACTCGGAGCTCGCCGTTGTAAATAGTTCCCCTTAGCTAGGAGTGTTGTGATCAGCCATCACTGGATGCTTGTGTAAATAGTTCTGCGTATCTAATAAAGTCTTCTGAGCATCCCATCACTGGATACCTGGGTAAATAGTTCTCTTTAGGTAATAAAATCCCCGTGGCAGCAAGGGAGAATGTTCTCTTGCTCTAAAATAGAAGTAATTGTAACAGGCCAAAAGGATCATTAGGATTTCAAAATTTCACTCAACAGCACTACCCAATGTGTATCAGCCACACCCTATACATCAACTTAAAAAAATCAAAAGCACAACAGAATGCTAGAGAAATAAAAGGTTTATTTTCATTAATTCACCTCTTACAATAGACTTTAGTACAGTGTATTTAAGGTCAAGAAAGGACAGCAGGGTCTGTTTCAAAGGGCCTATGACACACACAACTTTACCTCACAGGTAAGGACAGGAGAGCTGCTCCCCAGGAAACTGCTGTCCCTCTGTTAATATGACAGGAGAGCAGAGCTGCTGCAACCCACAGTGACATGGACCCACGAGGAAAATCTGACTATTAATGGTCATCAAACAGCTTGTTAGTTCCACACTCTACATTCATATTAGTAACAGGGTTAGATCCTCAAGAGCACCTGTTTTATCAGATTCCATCCAGGACTGTCAAACAGGAGATGGCTTGTACCCCAACCTAAGGTGGACAGAGCTGAAAATAAATCCAAGTCACAGACCAATTTCTTTACACTTGCTTTTCAAAGCTCACTGGATGTTACAACATCCTGTTACAAGGCGGTATTAAGAACATAAAAAGTTCTAATTCCTTGGGATTGGGTTTGCTTTCAGCCACCAGAGTATTTCACAACACACAAGATGATCCAAGAGTTTGGATTTTAATATTTACTGTAATGGAGAAAAATGTCATTGCAATAGTCAAGCAGAATGCTGGGTACAGCTGTTCACAGCACATGTAAAATCAGGCTGTTTGCTTCATCTCTGGAATGGACTCCCACTATGTGCAAGGGAGTCATTAAAAACACAACCCGTGGCTACTAATGGAGTATCCAGGTAGTTAATATAAAATATTATGTACACATGTGACCCCTGGGAGATACTAAAGTGATCACCAGCACCTGGCAGGTGCCACTGGTACTTTGAGCAGAAAGCCAGGACATGACACATGTGTTTGGTGGCAGGTATCAGGACAGCTGTAGAGGTGTGATTGTCCTAAGGAGGAGGAAAACTGCCCTCAAGGTCCTTTCCCCCCGTGAGGCAGCAGTCAGCCTTCTCACCCTTACTGAACACACACTGGGATCCTGCTGCCAGCTGACCCGCCTCCAGAAACACACGGGAGGAATTCCCAGGCTTTTGTTTATGGGATCATTTGATAAACACCCAGCAAGATATGGTGGTCAAGGGCACAAGGAAATTGTTATGGATTCACAGACTTGTGGGCTAAACTGCAGCCAGAGCCACGAAAGCAATTCAACACCTCATGTGATGCAGTGGATTATCTGACCTATCAGTCACAAACCACATCAGTGCCACTGATCCCCTGGGATTCAAGGCTAAAAAACCCCAACTGCTTTAAACTACCCCAGAACTGGCAGAGCAAACATTGAGAACAGCCTGTGCTGCTGCCAGGCCCCACCCCAAGCACATGGAGGGACAGCAAGGCACACACAGCATGCGGCTGGCACACACGGGTTACCTGTTCAGGGATGGGGCTGGGCTCACACTGGCTCTGAGGGGACTGCTTTGAATAAGTGCCACAGCTTGTCCATCAGCCCAAAGTCCTCCTGGGAATTGCAATATCAATTCTGCTTAGAAAAAGCAAGACTGCAAGGTTTGTTCTTGCCTCTTTGTTGCACAGTGCCATGCATTAAATATTCAGCTCCTATTCCAACTGAAAGAACCATCTTGGTGTTCCTCCCTACAAATTGTCTGTATTTGATGATAGACTACAAGAGAGCTTGGAGAGAGCTGTGGTGGTGACCAACCACTGTCCAAGTGCCTGTTAAATCCTGCCAGCTGGTTCTGCAGGGTGGAGGATGTGAACTCCTCTCTGCTGCTTTGGTGCAAAGTCTGGGAAAGCATCTTAAAATCAGCTCCCACAAACTGCTGTTACATTGATGGATTCAGCACCAGAGGCATTTGCACACAAACTGCTGCAGGAGCAGCAATTCTGCACCTACTCCAGCCAGACCTGCAAGAGTCCAGGAGCAAGACTCCATGGATCAACCCCCAGCTTATAATCCTGCAGCAGCTGCTTGGGAACAGTCACCTACAAACATCACCTTAAACTCACCTACTTCCTCTTGCATGAAGCCAGTAGCATAGACTTCACCTGCCCCAACAACCAAAGAGGCAAAGAAAATAAAACATGGTTACCACAGAGGAGTAAGCTAAGACAAACTGTTCAGAATTTCAAGTTTGGTAATATTTTTTTTTTAACTAAGGCTGGAGACTCTCTCACAAACAGACAAGTTGCTGATATCAAAGTGGCCCACAAACCACAGAGTGGAGCATTAAGGGACATACACATCAGAGAAACCTTTACACACTGAGTGGTGGAAAGACTTACCCCAAGTTTCAGATATGATCTGGGCTGCCTGTTGAACTGGAAAAGGAGAAGGAGCAGCTCAGGAAGTAGAACAATTAAGACCAAAACAAACCCCAAACTGGTTAAAAGTTCTTTGCAAAGAACTCACCCACAGCAAAACCACTAGCAAATCATCAATGAACCAAGAACAGTAACAGATTTTCCAGAAAGATTTGTCTACACAAATTTTGTAATACCCAGGTTACTCCTCCCATTCCCTTCCCTAAGATCCTGAGTTAAGACTGCATGGAAAAACCTGGAACATTCAAAAGAAGGGAAGGATGGGGAGAAAAGGAGGTAGGAAGTATGCACTGAAACTGTTGGTAAATGAAAGGGTCCTGGAGCTTCTTGGACTGGGGAGAAGGAGTGTTCAGTGGGACAGAGAGGCAGGGATACTCCAAAGGGACTATCCCACGTTTTGTTCCCTGGGACTGCAGCAAGAGCCAACCAGAGCACTTGCATGTACAGCCACCTCAAAATGCCAAAAGGTGTTTAAATGAGCTTAAATCTCAGCCTCACAGCAAGTGGGGAAATTCAGATACCTGGAGACTCTGAAAGCCCAGCTCTCCCCCCTGCAGGAGCACACGTGCCAGCTTGGTACAGAGCTGCAGCACAGCTGCTGGGAGTCCCTTGGGACAGCACAGGAGGGCAAAGGCTTCTGATTGTCAGAGAGAGGCTGGAACAGCAGGGGCTCTTTCATCACTTTTCACTAGACCTAAAACGTGCAACATTTGAGAAAAGACCTACAAGTAGCTCAGGTTTCACTATATTCCCATGAAATAATCCCACTCTCACTGATCCACTCTGACAGAACTGAACTACCAGTGTGGGTGGGTGGCTCATGGTCTGGTGTCACTCCTTCGCTCAGACTGTTGACCCAAATTCTTAAGTTGAGTAAGACTCAAACCTTCAAATATACCTGAAAAAAAATTCATTGCCTCAAGCTCTTTTTTAGCAAGTGTCTTGTGTCCAACCAATCATCCATTTATAAACAAACTCTGCAGCCTCTCTACAACACAAATACAAAATATTTAATACACATAGAAACATCCTGAAGTAATTTCATAAAGAAAGATTGTGCTTTTGTTTCATATAGAACTATTGCACTTGCCTCCAGCTTGGGAAAGCCAAGTACACCAACACCAATCCTGTGAAGTTTAGTCACTGAGGAGAGAATCAAAGGAATGTCAAGAGATAAGTGCAAATGAAACAGGTGCTTTCAAGCACACACAAATGTAACCACTAAATTATTAAGAGAGAGATCTTTGATTTTCCAAGCAGAACTGTTAGAGACTAACTCTACAGAAATCCTTAGAACCAAAGATCTGAGGAAAGAAGTAACAGGCTTAATGCTCCCAGAGACATTTCACAGCCCGATACAGGCTACAGCTTCTCCCTGGGTATCATTAAGGAATACTGTTGGATTCATGGAGTGTCTCAATTCCCACCCACCCTCAACTTCTGAGCTTCTGAATTTTCAGTACACAACAGATGCCGGTTTTATGCATCAAATCAAATCCACACCCTCATGTCTTATAAAGACACATGAAGCCTAACAAATGGGTTTATTTCCTAGGCTCATCAGGAGTGATATTGCAGACACTAGCACTCGATCTGGGAGCGCGGCATCCTCCGTAAGCTCAGGGAGTATCGGTGTATCTCCTGCATCTGCCTTTCCTGCATCTGCCTTATTCTATCTTTTTGCCACATGAGATTTTGTGGCATGGGGTACCTCTGCGTTCCCTGCAGGCACCTGAAGGGGATTCTCACGTGGCAGGCAGTGGCTCTGCAGCGGGGCTGTGGCATTGGGGGCAGGAGCATCCAGCGCTTCCGCTCGGCGCAGTAGCGATAGGCCTCCTTCCTGTACTGCTTGTCAATGTCATCGCTGTTCTTCCACCCCCCAATGATAAACACGTCATCTTTGTAGTAACAAATAGCTGCTCCTTCAATGCTCAGGACCTCGGGGGGCAAAGATTCCAGGATTTCATCCGAGGCCCTGCTGGAGATCTTCCCCTTGGCCTCCTCGTTGTCTATGGGGTAACTCTTGGGGCAGCACGATGCCGTGTGGTAGAAGTTGGTGTTGGCAACAGACATCTGGAAAGAGCAGTAGTTGTCGATGAGGGGCAGGGACTCCACGTCCTGCCACTGCCTGGTTTCAGCATCGTATCTGATAATAACAGCCCTGAGCCCGTCCTCGCTGTCACTGTCAACCGGGGTGCGGGCGGCCACGTACACATAGCGGTCCTCCACGGAGACAGCTTTGACATCCCGCAGGATCTTTGGTGCCGACTCCAGGTTCAGCCATTTGTCCTGCTCAGGGTTATAAATGGCCACATCTTTAAAGCCTGGACTGAAATTGCCGTGTCCACCAATACTGTACAAGTTGCCTTTCACTTCAGTAAGGCCAAAGGAATG